GTTTCTGAGGACTGGCTGGTGAGTTTGAACCACCAAACTTATGGTTCAAACAGACCTAAATTAAACATATGACTAATTGACATTAGAAAGGAACCATAACTAACTGTTACAATATCATACAAATTTGACTTAAGAATATAACTCATGTGTAGTTTGGGACTGTCTGTATAAAAAAAGCCATATAATTCATTCATAAAAAGAGAAACATTCCAATAAAAAACAGGCAAATAAAGAAATCATGAAACAAATAGAAATAGTCAATTAACCCATGTAAAATTGCTCAGTATCAATGGTTTTTAGCAAAATTAAAATTAAAACCACAATGAGCTATTCATTCATAAGAATACCAAAATGAATTTACACACACACACACACACACACATGCACACACACACACACACACACATATATATATATATAGTTGTCATTAAGTGCCATCAAATCGGTTCTGACCCATAGTGACCCTGAACAGGGTTTCCGAGGCTGTAAATCTTTACAGGAGCAGAAAGCCTCATCTTTCTCCCACGGACCACAGAGCAGCTGGTAGTTTCGAACTGCTGACCTTGCGGTTTGCAGCCTAATTCGTAACCACTACGCTACCAGAGATCCTTTATATATATATCAGGTAGACTTTAGAATTATTTAAAACTGCTATTCATGCTCCCATTATTTTTTAAATTAAATATTTGATTTTGTTGTAGTGATGCTATTTTTTCTAAATGTAGTGCTATGATATGCTTTAAAATATCAATACAACTCTAATCACTCTTCTCTGTGTCTTAGTCAACTCCAAATATTAACACAGTGATGTTTTTAATGTTCTAATACATTTTTAAACATAGCTTTGAAAATGTCTCAAGGCATTGATTAAATGATGAAACACTATTTTGAAGCACTAGAGAATTATTTCAAGAATAAGTCAGTCAAAAATCTTATTAATATGTCCGAATGGATACAAAATTCTATTTAGATTATAGGAGGGGTTTTCAAGAGGTTCATGGAAAAATAAATTTAAACAATAAAAGAATTTTACCATGAATATTTGAAGCCCCCTCATGTAACCATTTCCAAACAGCTAACATCTAAAAGCAGAACATTTGCTTATGTAAAATTATCTCTAAATAAGTATAAGGAGCTCTGATAACATAGTGTTTACTAGTCAGGAAGCTAACCTCAAGGTCAGCAGTTCAAAACCACTAGCTGTTCCACAGGAGAAAGATAAGGCTTTCTGCTTTCATAAAGTTTACAACCTCAGAAACCTTATTCAGGGTGGCTATGAGTTGGAAATGACTCCATGGCATACCACCACCACCACCACCACTACACTACAGAAGTATAAGTAATTTAGCATCACTATTATTAAAATTACCAGCTTTCAGTTAGTTTTGTCAAGCAATGTTTTTTTTTTTTTTTTTTTTTGTCTATGGGGTGGGTTTGTGTTATCACTATTCCAATTTTGCAGATGAAGAAACTGAAAGCATACCACTGCTGGTTGACAGCGCCATTTGACTTCAGAGAGCTTAAATCAATTCAGGCGGTAGAGCTAAAACAATGATTGCTTAAAAACACTTCAGTTTTTATGACAATTAATTCCCTTTTTGTTTTGTTTTTTATGTTTTTATTGTGAATTGAGTGATAGTTTACATGGGAGAACTTTAGTCTGACACTCATCATTTCACTGAAATGATTACAATCCCCTCTGTGCACCATCATTCAACAGAATTTGCTTCTATTGCCTCTGGTTTGTTTTGTTTTGTTGGGGGGTGGGGTTGGGTATACACAAAATCCCTCAGGAATATATAATCATTTAAACAACCAGAGGACACATTCTGCAAGTCTGCCTCCTGGCCGCCAGCACACAACCTTTCTCCTTCCATGAGTCTAGAGTCCTCAGCTGCTCTATCTCTCCATGTCATCATCTCTGCCTCCATCTCTGGTGTCATTGCTTCTCTGGACAGGGTCCCACATTCTGCTCATACTCTTTTCCCTTGATGATCCTTAGTTTCTGGACTGTAAGTTTAACTACTCCCACCTTTTTGTTACAGAGCACCTACTTCTACAGTTGAGACAGTTGCAGAATTGATTCTCTTTTACCTCCTGACTCTTAAAATAATCATGGAAAGATTTAGAAAAGGGAAGGAAAGGAAAAGGGAAGGATGGATGACAGGGATACTCAGACTGTTTAACTGTAAATTGAAGAAGCAAGTGAGAGGAATGGAGTAAGAGTCACACACACAGAGAAGGAGAAAACAGAAGCTCATGTACCCATTAAATAAACAATAATGATAAATAAACAGTTGCCATTAAGTAAAATTGGACTCATGGCTATACCATTAGTGTCAGAGTCCAACTAAGCTCCATAGAGTTCTGAATGGCTGATTGAATGAACGTAGAATGCCAAGCTTTGCTTCTGAGATGTCTGTGGTTGAATTCAAACCTTTAACCTTTTGGTTAACAGAAAGATTGTTAACTATTTCAACATTATAGGCTATGAAAAACCTTCTGAGTAAAAAGAATAAAGAGTGGAGATACCCCAAAGAAGAGACGTGCAGAGTCGAACAATTCATAAGTCATAGCAATGATGTCTACCATGTTCAATATTACTGCTGTCAATGGTTGGTCGTAGGTCGAAATTTCTTTGTAACATTGTTGTTGTTGTTATTGTTAGGTGCTGTCAATTTGGTTCTGACTCCTAGTGACCCTATGCACAACAGAACGAAACACCACCCAGTCTTGATCCTTCCTCACAACTATTGTTATGCATAAGCTCCTTGCTGCTTTGTAATACCTTAACATTTGATTTCTATCAATTATTAAAAATTTAAAGAAAAGTGTTTTTGAGATCAAAACTAAACAAAATAAGAAATTCCATCCTTCTTGCATAGATGTAAACTTAGCAACACAAAGTTGTTCAACTGATATGAAATTTCTACCTTTTTTAAGTATGGGATATTTTGTGACAACTTTCAATCACAATGTCACATTTAGCTCTTAAAGCA